GGTTGATGGTAAGAGGAACCCCCGGGCGGTTGGGCCACTACTGGACGCAGTAGATGGTCAGATCACTGCTGGACGGTGAGACGTAACGCAGCAGTTGATCGAGTATGTTGGGTTCACTACTGGACGACGAGACGTAACGCAGTAGTTGACGAGCATGGACTGGACGGCGAGACATAATGTAGTGTCATTGCCGAGTTTGGGTATGCAACCGGACTGCGAGACGTAACGCGGTTGGCATACTAGGGTAGGGACACCGGACAGCGAGACGTAAGGCGGTGGTCCTAGAGTTTTGTGTTGAGATAAGGATAGAAGTCGAGAACTTTTATGAGTTAATGTTGAGATGAGTTGATAAGAATGGTTATTTAAGAGCTGAAAGCGAGAATGACTTTCATGCTAGTAAGACATTCCCCTAATAACGTGTTTAGTAAGGAGTTTGCCTAGAGCAAAGACCTTAGGAAGTAACGACGAGACTGACCCCTTCTCACTCACCAGGTTGAGGGTAGTCTAGTAGAAGTGGATCAATAGAAGAAGTAGGGCGAGGCGAGCAGCAGTACCAGCGTCGACGGGATATCGGAAAGCTCGTGAGGAGTCAAGTTAGATTAGTTAATTATTCTGTTTCATGGTTATTAGTATAAACTGGAGATTCTGTGTTAAGTCATTTTTAGTGTTTGAGATTGGGAATTTTTCCCAAGTGTTGGGGCTTTTCGTTAAAAATTCTTAAATAATGTCAGTTTGTTTATTTTAAAATGTGGTTTGGGTTGCTCCGGAGTAACCGGTTTTTTTGTTTGAGTTATGGTTGGGTTTTCGAAAAGAGACGGGACGTGTCATTTTGGTATCGCAGTAGATGGTCGGATCACTACTGGACGTAGTAGATGGTCGGATCACTGCTGCACGGCGAGACGTAACGTAGCAGTTGATCGAGTATGTTGGTTTCACTACTGGACGGCGAGACGTACCGCAGTAGTTAACGGGCATGGACTGGACGGTGAGACGTAACGCAGTGCCATTGCCGAGTTTGGGTATGCAACCGGACGGCGAGACATAACGTAGTTGGCATACTAGGGTAGCGACACCGGACAGCGAGACGTAACGCGGTGGTCCTAGAGTTTTGTGTTGAGATAAGGATAGAAGTCAAGAACTTTTTTGAGTTCATGCTGAGATAAGTTGATAAGAATGGTTATTTAAGAGCAGAAAGCGAGAACGGCTTTCATGCTAGGAAGGAATTCCCCTAATAAAGTGCTTAGTGAGGAGTTTTCCTAGGGCAAAGACCTTAGGAAGTAACGACGAGACTGACCCCTTCTCACTCACCAGGTTGAGGATAGTCTAGTGGAAGTGGATCACGAGAAGAAGCAGGGCGAGGCGAGCAGCAGTACCAGCATCGACGGGATATCGGAAAGCTCGTGAGGAGTCAAGTTAGATTAGTTAATTATTCTGTTTCATGGTTATTAGTATAAACTGGAGGTTTTGTGTTAAGTCGTTTTTAGTGTTTGAGATTGGGAATTTAGCCCAAGTGTTGGGGCTTTTCGTTAAAATTTCTTAATTAATGTCAGTTTGTTTATTTTAAAATGTGGTTTGGGTTGCTCAGGAGTAACCGGTTTTTGGTTTGAGTTATGGTTTGGTTTTTGAAAAGAGACGGGACGTGTCAGTTTCCCTATCCAATTTCTCCTTTTTCGTGGTTTCTTCACCTGTAATACATCAAATTCATGGCAGCTGGCAGTAATGGTTTTTCATCCATTCCTAGGTTAGTTCAATTTAAAATAGCACCAATCGACTCAAACATATCATGAAGTAGTCATATAAAGCTGAAGAATTCGATACATTAAAGCCGATTATCACAAACCCGCACTCAATTGTTGCTTGTCCCTAAGCAACGACTCAGACAAGAGATCGATAATTGGAGGTAACACATAACAAGCCACACAGTGATAACCTTGCTCAAAACCCAAGACCCATGACATACAGAACACAACATTAACACCACAAATTTACCCTTGTACTCTTGTGATAATCAGTAGTCTCTTTCTCACTGGAGGACTTGTTCGATAATAATCATACTTCTCACCCCACACTCAAGTTCTTTGCAACCATTTACCATTGACTGACTCAAATCCAGCAAAAACTCAATTAACAACATTCAATTTCGATCGTCGGTAATGGATGATTAACAACTTATGGTTCAATAGTTATTAGGAGAATATGGCCACTTCAGTGAGGTGCATATGTCGTAAGAACAGTCTGGCTTACTAACATCAATCATAAGCAATTAACTAAGCACAATAGTCTCAAAAACTAATGGGGGAAGCTTTTAGCAAACTTCATTTTAACTTTAAGCACATCACTACCTTTTATGACAAGGAGTGGCTTTCTCTTTCTGATTTTGCTTGCCGAGTGGTCGTATTTAGTACAAGTGGGATTTGTTTCTTACTACCGGTGACCGAGCAAGAGCAATTTCTGCTTCTTATCACTCGGATAAGAGCTTCTTTCAACTCCTTTTCCTCGATCCATGCAGAGGGTCACTGCACATCCTTAAATGACACTTCACTCAATAGGCGATCGTACTTGATAAGCAATATCATACAGTCGCAAACCGATGCTCAATTGAACCTTTCCTAATCCCCCTATGCATTGAGTGATTGCCTCACACGATCTTGGCATTTACCCACACTTTAATTGTTATGGCAACCTTCTTATATTTTACTTGTCAGCTAGGATTTTTTCTTTTATAAAGATACAGTTCAGCCTATTATAAAACATTCAAAACAGAGAGACTCATTGCAAAGTCAAAAGCTCACAATAGATGCAAGTAATTGCGGTATCCAAACATGTCGAATGGTCAATGTTCTCCACCTAACCACTTCACCAAAAGTCATTACACTATCCTCACAAAAGAGAGTGTTGCTAATAAAGTTTCTCTCGTTCAAAGCATATTCAACCAGTCAAACTATCAAGCTCATTGTGAAGAGCTCTGCAATTCAACAAGGGGTGATTATGATGATTTCATTCATGCACAAACACATTTAAAAGGCATCTCGATCATTTACATCATGTTACCACAAGAGCACAAGGTTTTGTTTTTAATTTTTCTGTTTTTAGGTGTTTTTTAGCCATTAGGTTAGCACAAGCAGACTGAACCTGCACAGGCAGACTGCATGCATGCAGGTTGGCTGTGCACGACCTAATGACAGTTTTTTTTACTGACCACATGACAAAGGAGCAAACAAACACTAATACTCACCACCCCACACTCAAGATGGAACATTGTTCCTAATGTTCAACTCATAATCTAAACATGCAAGGGTTGACACAACAAAAAAGAAAAATAAAGAAAAAAACTCACCTTGGGTTGCCTCCCAAGAAGCGCTTGTTTAATGTCCTCATCCTGACGTTCATGGAGATTTCAACCAACGGGTATTGAAAGGTATCTAGAATACCCTCCCGAGCAATGATAGAACGCATACCCTCCATTCAACATATGAGTCACCTCTGTAGGGCCAAGTGTGCGAAAATTGGGTACGACCTTCTTAGATGGCATGTTGGACCCTTTAGTGAGGCGTAGGTGGTATTGTAGTGCCTCAAGCAAGTACTCTTCCTGTTTCAATGTCAGTCAAGAAGGAACAATAACAGGAAGATTGAAATCCTTACCCAAATATCTATACTTGAGGTGACTTGACAAGGATTTCTGCCCTTGCTTTGATTTCAAACTTTGAGCTACTAGGACATGTGATAGTTCTTTGAGTGGTCCACTATCACAGGAAGAGGAATTTTTCCTTTCTAGAACTGCACTTTCAAATTCATCAAATGCATCGTGATTATGATCAACTTGAAAGACATTAAAAATTTCCTCCTCCTTACCTATTTGGAATGTCAACTTCTCGCTCCCAACATCGATAAGTGTATCTCCAGTGGCCAGAAAAGGTCTACCAAGAATGAGAGGCACCTTGTTCTTCTTCCATCCCCAGAATGACAAAATTCGTTGGGATAATAAACTTCCCCACCTTTACCAATACATTCTCCACCACTCCCTTTGGAATTTTCACTGATCGATCGGCCAATTGGAGAGTGATTCGAGTAGGCTTAAGAACATCTCCCAATCCCAATTTCTTATAGACTGAGTATGGCATCAAATTAATTCCTGCTCCAAGATCACAAAGTGACTTATCGAACTCTGTACCTCCAATGACACGTGGAATGGTGAAGCTGCCCGGATCATCCCTCTTCTTTGGTAATTTATTCTGAATTATTGGACTACATTCAGAAGTAAGGGTTACCTTGTCTAAATCAGACCATTTACGCTTCTTTGTTAGCAACTCCTTTAATAATTTAGCATATGTTGCCATCTGAAGTTGTTTTAAGAGATTCACAAATTTCTTGTAGTTTGGATCTTCAATGGGCTTCATTAATCTCTGAGGGATTGGTGCAGGAGGTTCATAAGGCCTTACCTCTTCATTCTTGAGTTTTTTTCACTTTTGGAGGTGCATAGGCATAATCCTCATGCACAGGCAGACTGCATGTAGTTTGCCTGTGCAAGTCAGATTTTTAGCTTTTGCACTTTCTTCCTCGGCAGCTGCTTTGCTCTCCTTTTCTACTTGATTTTCCACTCCTTCCCACTTCTCAATGTGACAGCTAAAACCATGGCATCCTTTGGATTCCTCTCAGTATTAGCCGGTAAAGTCCCAGGAATCGTACATTGAATATCTGCAAAAGTTTGAGCCATCTGGCCTATTTGCCTCTCCGTAGCTAGCAGAGATGATGGCACATTGGTTGATAGCTAGCTATTGAGTGACAAATTGATCCAAACCGTTCATATTATTAACTGTTTTCTGCATATGAGCCAAAATCAACTCCTCCACCTGGGGCTTCTTCTCAGGTTGAGGCTACTGCTGATGGAAATCGGGAGGTGGGATGTCTCAAACACCAACTGGATTATTGTTCGACCATGAAAAATTGGGGGGTGATTTCTCCATTGAGGGTTATATGTATTTGAATACGTACCACCATAGCCTTGACTTCACGGATTATTGATATACTGGACATCTTCCAGCTGAGCAGTTCCTAGTGAACACATATCTTTATGATGAGCACCTTCACACAATTCACAAAAAGCAACCTCCTCTTGTCTACCCAGAGAAATCTTGGCCAACCTTCGTTCGAGTGCATTGAACTTAGAATCCAGCTTGGCATTGATCTTGGCTTCTAGACTTGTAGCTCTATCAACCTCATGAAAGCCTCCTCTTCTTCGAATACTACTCTCACTACCCCATTGAGGGGCTTCTGAACATATCTTCTCTAATAGATCATATGATGCTGGTGTCTCTATGCTTGTGAAACCATTCCGCGAAGCATTATTAAGGGCATCCCGAAACTCCCTTCTTATTCCATTGACGAAAATAATGATCACGCTCCAGTCTTCAAGACCATGACTTGGGCATCTCATCAAAATCCCCTTATAGAGCTCTCATGCCTCGGTCAGACTCTCATCTTCAGCTTATTTAAAAGTAACAATTTCCTATTGCCTCTTCATTGCCTTGGCAGGAGGAAAGTACTTATCTAGAAAGGTCTTTTCAAGCTTAGCCCATGTCGTGATGGAACAGGGTGTTAAGTTCTGGAACCAGTTTGATGCATTCCCTATTAGGGAAAATGAGAACATCTGAAGACGGATTGCATCATCAGACACAGTTGGGCTCTTCATCGTATCACATATGCTCACGAACTGGCGAAGATGTTCATGAGGATTCTCATTGCTAGCCCCGGAGAAAGTATACCCATTGGTGATCATGTTGATGAATGATGGGGTAATCTCCATTGTTGCATCCCCAGCCGGAATTACAACACATGAAGGTCGGGCTCCAGTCCTCCGATTCAAGCGAGCCCTGATCGAATGATCCTCTGCCATGATGACAGGCTCGAGGTCGCGCAGTGGTGGCGGTCGCATCGGTGGCGACAAGTGGTGAAACCTGACCTCTCTGTTGACAATTCGTGGTTAGGGAAGGCCTAGGAGTTTTGGTTGGCTTCTTCCCTAACTTGACTTGCTTCCTCTTCTGTCGGCAAGTCTTTTCGATCTCGTATCTAGTGGCAGTAAATTGCCGATTGTCATCCTAGGCATGCACAGAGAGGATAAACTTGAAAATTCACATGCACACTAGCACACAGATCAAAATAGTTCACTCACAAAAATCAATAAAAATAAGGTAGGGCAAAAGAGTAATGCCTCAATCCTATCTCGTAGTAAAACCGGGAAGTCCGGGTATCGTCTCTCAGGGACTGGTACAACCTTATATTCTATCAATTTTATAGAGAAAACTATGGGTGAAAAGGTTATAGTGATGAAACTACTATCTAATAATGAAACAAAAACAAGAAACTAAAATTGTCGGGTTGAAATCAACGGGAGAAAGGTCTGGGTTGAAGGATGCTTGGGAAAGGTACTCTGACTTCTTTCTCCAATGCCCACCTTGTGGGATGACATACTCAATAAGTTTATGACTCGGTATTTCCCACCTTCAAAGACGGCTGAGTGGCGCAAGAAGATCACCCACTTTGAGCATAGGAAGATGAGACATTGAAGGATGCTTGGGAAAGGTACTCTGACTTCTTTCTCCAATGCCCATATCATGGATTTGAGGAGAAATTCCAGATTGAGACCTTCTATGACGACCTCCACCAAGAAGACAAGATCCTCATTGATTTCTTATGTCAAGGGAAATTGATGAACATGACTCCACCCCCAAGTGATCGAGTCGCTCAAAGACATGGCAAGTAGAGGGTATGATTGCGGTTTGACGAGAAGTGGAAAGAGAAGCACCGCACGTGGAGTGCAAAGTGTTGGAGCGAGTCCCCCGCTTGAAGCTAAGATTGATCGGTTGATTGATGCACTCCTAGAGGGGAAGAAGCATGGGAAGAGGCCGGTAATGGCGTGTGATTGGTGTTTGAGTACCCACCATGAGATTTCAGAGTGTCAAATGATGAAGGAATTAAGCACCCGCCGAGTAGTAAGTGAGTTTCATCACCAGTGTTAGAGGGAATAACCCCTATAGCAACACTTACAACTCAGGGTGGTGAAATCATCCCAATTTATCTTGGTCCTCTCCAACCAAACCAAGACCCCCCGGTTTCCAATGACCGACGGCAAATTAACAACTAAGGCCTACATCCATTCAACAAAGGCCGCAATTCCAAGGGTCTAACTTTCAACAACCTTCCAAACTCAAGGTGGTCAAGGGTACACCCCGATGAGTTTGCAAAACTTGAAGACCTTGTGACCAGCTTCATGAGCACGAGCACTCAGGAGTTTCAGAAGATTGAGCAATTTATTAATGTGGCAACAACAAAGTTGTAACACCCCATGTTCAGGTTAGGGTTTGATTAAGGTTCGACCGAACGTTTGGATCGACGGTTACGTACAAAGAGTTACAACCTCAGATTAGGGATAATAATAATAATAATAATTATTATTATTATTATTATTATTATTAGTATATAATAATAATTATTATTCATTAAAAGAAAACCCTAAGCAAATCATAGTAGTATTTGCCGACGAGGAATCCCTAGGTCCCATCTATCCCCTTTCATCTTCTGAACACAAGCCCCACCGAAAGCTTCCCGCGGAACTCATCAATTCCCTACCCCTCACAGCCGAGAGAGTAAACTCTGCTTTCCTTCCATAGCGGCTGCTGCTATCGGGATAGAGATAGAGCCTTCGTCTTTGGATCGGCCAAACCGGAGCACAGATTATTGATGCGGCTGTGAGGAATCTAACCGGAGACTACATGACGAGGCCGGACAAGTGACGGCGGTGATGGGGGACATGGACCGAGGACCACCAAGTGAGCTCGATTCCGGTCTTGATGACCCGTCCCACAACCAATATGGATTCGGATAAACATACGACCAGGAGTTCATGCCAATGGAACCACGCCCAAGAAGAAGGAAGATAATGCATATGGTGATGCAATCTGTTGTGGCATGTTCATCAGGGATCATTACTATGACCACGTATGTGACACTTCACCAGGTAATGAGAATGTGGACATGGTCTACATTGGCTTTAGGTTTGTTGGCTGTGATTGGGACTTTTTATGGTTATTAGGCTTGGAAAAAAGAAGGGAAGCAATTCGTGCATCGGCCAACTAGGAGAGCAAGCCATAGCAATGGTTTAATCGTCATCTCAAGGAGGATATAATCGATTTGGAACTGAACTTGAAAGTCAATCGACATTGAAATAAGGTGAGTGTAAAGGGGGTAAATTCTACGCCTTATGTTTTCTTTTACGTATTATGATTTTAAGTATTTTAGCGAATTGGTTACCATTGCTTGGTTTATTTGTGCTTTGCTTGAGCTATGATTTGAGATCATTTTGGGCTATTTGAGGTGATATGAGGTGATTTTGTGCTATTTACCTTAAAGTGTTATGTTTGAGTTATTGTTAAAGTTTAAGAAACAAGTTCTTTTTAAGAAGTAACTCACCTTCAAGAAGGCGAAGCCGTTTTAAGTGTTTTTAGTCACTAGGCCAGTCCGTTGCCATTTGAGATTTTCAGATAGAGCAGCAGTTATGCTCTTGAGAATCGTGATGAAGAGTCACCACGATAAGTTTAAGATGTTAGGGGGATGAATCGTTACGACTCCCCTAACTAAGTTTAATTTTAAGGAAAGCCTTGATGGCTTCTCATACGTATGAGTTGGCAACCGAACTAGGTAGTGAGGGATCCCCGTGTCAGTTAAGTATTTAAGTCGAGATTTGAGCTTTAAGAATGGAGAGTAACAGTAACTCCCATACAGTTTTAAGAGTTAGGAATTTTAAGAGTGGAAGTGCAAACAACTTCCACAAATTTAAGTAAGTGTTTTAAGTAAAGTGCTAAGTAGTAAGAATTTTAAACGTAAGGGCATAGACTGACCCCATCTCACTCACTAGTTTGAAGAGCTAGAGGAGCATTTAGTGAGCAGCGAATTCGAGGGCAGGCAGCTAGAGGAGGGCAGTATAAGCGTCACAGAGGATGCTTAGTCAAGGTTTCAGTAGCAACAACATTAGATATTATTAGTTATTTACATTTATGATTATGAGTATAGACTGGAGATCAGATTGAGATTTTAAAGTTTGAGTTTAATTTGCCCACGTGTTAGGGCTTAGCTCTGAGCTACAAGTGTGTGTTTTCAGTATTTTATTTATGAAAATTATTCCCGCTGCAATTTAAGATTTGAGTATTTTATTTATCCAGGGCATTTTAGTAAATGTAGTACCCGGCCGGGTTAGGGTGTTTCATTTTGGTATCAGAGCCGGTCTTCCTCTGTTCCTTGGTTTCCAGGGAATACTGGAATGTCAGTCTCAGTTTTTAAGGGATTTGTTTTAAAGGAAAGGAAAATGAGTCAAGGGTCTCATTTTAAGAGTCTATAGAATCTCCAGTCGACTCTAATCGTATTAAGATAAATAACTTTAGTCCTAATAAAAGGGTGCGCCAATCGCAAAGTTCTATCCCGGGGTATAGGTACGAGGAATCAAAGGAGTTAAAGGAGCACTACGAGGATTTTTCTACTTAGTTACTAGCAAGTGATCTAATAGGTTAAGATATACAAATAGGAGAACTATGAATCCCCGAAGAAAGAGCTACGATCACTCGATGCCAGTAACTATAATGATGGGAGAATTTCAGGGTCCTTGACCCTAAGCAGTGGCGAGTCAAGAAACGAAGAGGTACCACCAGAAGTCCCTCAACTAGGTTTACTAGTCAACGCTATTACAATACAGTGACAAGGAGCAGTGGAAAGCTTAGACCTCAAGAGAAGCTAGGGAGTATAAATGAAGTAAAGAAGGAAGTAAGCAGGTTAGAGGGGGTCTGAAGGGACGTCAAGAAGTCAATAGTTTGAGGAGGAGATGAGGCATGGTCGTTTACATATGACGATGAAGAAACCGTTGTAGATAAAGTACGTCATCTAGATGAGGGTACATGACCCTGGGGAATTAGGATGGTAGCAAACTTTTGAAAGGAACAGGACAAGAGTCAAGATGATCGAGGTAGAGGAGGAGCTTGGATAAAAAAATAACAATGTGCTAGTGAACAATGTTGAGATAGAAAGAGGATGGATTGGGATGTGGGAGACTCTACAAACTACCCAGATCATGAAAGGTACGGAGGTCGTTGGGACAGTTGAAAGAGGAATGCAAGAGTTCACGATGATCTGTTATGGGATTGCCCTCTCTTAAATGGAGGGAGCACCTAGCCGCCTAGGGTACATGAGCGGTGACATAAGGAGGAACCTCTATACTAAGTTGGAACTAGAGGGATAAGAGTTGGAGTCTCGGAACTAGCTATAGAGTAAGTCATTAAGCCAACCGAGTATAGATAAGTAAGTGGAACGTTCAAAAATGTTCTAGTGAATGGCAGGGAATTTGAGGAAGCACAGGGAAGTTCCAATGAAGGATTGAGAATATGTGTAGGTGACTCGTGTTCAAGAAAATGCATAGTGGAGTACGACGAGGAAAAACATTACCAAGGATGAGGAAATCATTAAGTTACCTCACCCAAGTTGCCCCACTTTGAGTGGGAGCGGCATAGTAGGATGTCATCCAGAGGAAGCGGCTAGTTAAGGATAAGTAAGACACGTCTAGCTAAGCCACTAAGAACCTGGACTATGAGATTAAGGCTATATACAGGCATCAATCTAGACAAAATGACGTGAATGAGGTATGTTAAATCCTACCAAGGGAAATCTTCTATTGGAAGCTTTGATCCAAAACAACAACGAGAAGATACCCGGCAGAGTCGGCAACCAAAGTTAGTACAAAAACCTCAACAGAAGGGTAGTAAAAGTAAAGACGCAAGGAGAACACCATAGGACGTTATAGAAGATAGTTCGTCGACTGGGCAATGCTTGCATAAAGGAAAATAGTTAGGAGGGGTCAAGGAGGGAATATGAAAGACATCAAGGAGACTATAGGTTATCGTAGGATGATGTTCAAGCCTCTTGGACAACGAAGTTACTAAAGATGAGGAGATCAAGACCTAGCTAGCATAGTGAGAAAGATGTCCTTACAAAGTCAAAGAGGGCAATATGATTGCTTCGTATAAGGGCAATGAACCATCAAGAGAAGAAATAAACTAGCATGGACAGATTGATCAAGATTAAGGAATTGGGGATTTAAAGAACATAATTGGGCAGGTGGAGATAGGGTGATCGAATTCCCGAATAGGCAGGTGGTGACCAGAAGTTGGCACCATGGACAAAGGATTCAGGGAGTTGATCGCAAACTAGATAAAGATGCAAAG